GAAGAAGAAGAAGAAGAAGAAGAAGAAGAAGAAGAAGAAGAAGAAGAAGAAGAAGAAGAAGAAGAAGAAGAAGAAGAAGAAGAAGAAGATCATCGTCATCATCGTCATCCTCCTCCTCGGGTCTTTCCAACAGCCAGGAAGGCTTGTTGCATGAAAGGAAAAGAAAGAAAACTGCAAATACATTTTTTAAATGAATTACGATCACCAGGGAGAAGAAGCGAAGCCAAAGGGATCCTTGCAATGCTTTGGTGCTCCCTCTTTGCACAGCTAGCAGCCATCTGCACAGCTTGCTTCATTTAATTTGGGATATTAAAAAGCAAAGTCTTTCTCAAGGGGAGGGGAGATTGTGTAGTACCACAAATTCAATCTCCAAAAGTGGCTTTGCAGCACAAGAGAACATACGTGTAGAGTTTGCCTGCAATGTAAAACAAACAGGAAATCTGGCGAGAGGGAGGTCAACTCATAAATGGGCATTCTCAGTGACCACCCAGAGCTTGTCCCCGGAGGCAAGACAGGACCTTCCCTGATTATATTTCAGAAACTTGTACAGAGACTTTTGGAGAATTGTCCTCAGGAGAATTTCCAGGAAAGCTAAGCAGAGTTGGAGCTGATTGATACTTCAACAGGAGACTTCCAGAAAATCCAAGTCCAAAAACCCAGTATGGAGGAAGACAGTGGCAAACCACGTCTTTTTTTTGGTCAAGAGAAACACGTTGGTGAGGCTGGATAGTCAACAGAGATTTAACTCAGTTCTAGGAAGACCACCTTAGCCTACATCTCAGCCTCCCTCCAAGGTGAGAAGAAAGAGGGCTTCCTTTAGGCCCATTCCCCAGAGCCCCCAAGCTCCTTGGCCTCCCTGATTTTATTTCATTGACTCTTCTAGATTCCTTTGGTTCAAAAAGCGAATGGGTAGCTAGCACGCTGCAAAGGAATCGCCAGCCACTTGCAAAACCCACTTTTCCAAACCTGTCCCGAGGCTCCTGATAAACTTGAGAAGCTTTCTCAGAAGTCAACAGGGTGACACCCATCCTGACAGCCATTTTGCATCAGTGCCTAGAAGAAGACACCTGAACTATAGGCAGAAAGGTAAGATAGAAATGAACTAAGCACTCCAAGTTCCAAATGTAGTCAGGTCCAGGGGTGTCTCCTGGGGGAGTCAAAAAAGTCAAGATGGTGCCTGTGACAGCACAATCAATGCAATCAACGTTGTGCAATCGTGGGTACATCTTGGCTTTTTTGACACCCTCCTGATGAACACCACTACCCTGGTCCAAAATATTTGGAGATCCCTGCCTTAGGTCATCAAACCTACTTAAAGCTTCAAGAAAGGAAAATGCAGGTTTTAAACAAACTGTATTTTTTTCTACATTTTAAAAGGAAACATTTCACAGAAAGAAGTGTCTGACTGCAGTAATTCTAGGTTACATCTTGATCAGGCAGAGCAGAGACTTCTGGAAAGAAATCAAGAAACACATCGAGCCAAGAAAGAAATCTTGTTTGGGAGATTTTAAATCTGGCATTTAAAGTTACATTAATGTCCCATAAAGATGGTTGCATCAGAGCCACAATTTTCTTCAGCACTAAACACATTTGCTACATGTGGTGAAGAACAGCATCAGAGCACCAAGGTTTTGTGGCTGTCTCCATGATGAATAGACTTAGGTTTAAACCACATGTTTAAACCAAGAGAATGGTTGAGCCATGTTTCTCTCCTCCTGTCTCATTCTCACCTATCCGTTCATCGCACCTATCAGAATAACACTTCCCCCTGGAGCACATTCACTCAAAAGTTGCGCAACTTCCCCCAAGTTCATCCCTTGGCCATCATCAGATGGGCCTATAAATAGTGACTTTCACCACCCATCATGGCTTTGGTCAATCAAGGCTTGATTGCATAACCTTGAACCTTGCGTAATACTTTGGACTAAGGCAGAGAAGACATAAACTAGGTTCTCAGTTATAGCCATGCCACACACAATATTCCCTGTTAAAGATAAGGCAGGACCGTTCCATTTGAGCTGGTTTTGGCCAGGAGGCCACCAAGACAAAGACCAGTTTTATCCCAAGCGTGCTCATGCTGTCTTGGTTTTTAACCTGGAGACCACATTGTGAGCCCAGTTATTGTGCTCTGCACCCCACAACCTGGGAGTTTACTGTATGCAAACATCCTAACAGATGCTGAGGTCTTTTTCACTTCCTGAAATGGTAGCTTTGACGGTGCTCAGCTCTTGAACTTTTGGGTGGTCAGGATGCATGGCGGGAAAAAGCATGTGATGCTGCGGGTGGCTGGCAGCAGAACAGAGACCGGGGGACGTTCTCAGGCTGTCTAAGAAACTGAAGCAAAACAGCTGCTGTGATGACAGGAGACAGCAACTAACCCCACAGTGAAGGGTTTCAATCCCACAGGTCCTACTCTCACATCCAGATTTAACGCAGGCTGTTGAATTACTGAAGTAAAGGTACCATAGAGGTGAAAGACTAACATTATGCATCTCAAGACTGCAATGGTGAACCGTCAATAATAACATTTACATTGCATTACAGTGTGAATAGAGTATCGATATGACTGGGGACAGTAAGGAAGCAGACAGAAGATGTCACAGCACAGCCAGGCTTAACATTATGTGATGTGAGACCTTGGAAACAGCAAGAATCCAGCAGGTGTGCTAGATAGGTGTGGAGAAGGAAACTTCGTATCTTTCACATTAACTATGGAATGAGAAAGAGAGATGGAAGGATAGGTACAAAAAACCATCAACGTCTTTGCAAATCTCAAGGGTTGTAATATAATGTTCTCACCCTCAGCAACTCAGCAGGCTGGCTGGGGAATGCTGGGAGTTGAAGCCCACCCAAGAGGCCACGGTGGAGAAACCCTGCCCTCGATGGTCGAGGCCCAGCTTTTACAAACATCTTGGGTGAATCAGAGGGCCAAGGCCGTCAGCACAAGGACGTTCAGCGAAGACCAAGAGATATCTGACGGGGTTTCATATTTTCAGTTTTGAGAACGAAAAGGGGGCTTTTGCCTTCAGGCATAGGATGCCATTCCTGATCCAGCTCAGACTGAGACCAGACACACTTCATGGTCTCAGTTCCACTTGGGCTCTTGAAGAAGCAGCGGAGATTAGCTACTGCTCTTGAATTTACCCGCCCAAAGTTCTTGTTTGTGAAGGTGACGGGGGACAAAGCGAGATGAACTCGTGTGCAGCTTATACAGGCACCCGACCTGGCCCCAAGGAGCAATTTTCAGTTGGCCCAGGCCACCGGAGAAGTCATCCGTTACTGGCCTGAGCGTCTGACCCGGGAGATCCAGAATATCGTCTTTCCTGCTCCTGTGGAGCTGACCGAAAACAGAGAGGGGGATTCTTCTCCGAGCCCCGAACACAAAGCTGGCATTTGCTTTGGCGCAATTTGTTTATTGCGTAGGGATGATTAGCTTTTCTAATCACAATAAACATTAATGACTGACTGTTTCTGAAACCGCCTCGGTTAAATTAACTCACTGTAGAAGGAAGCAACGAGAAGGCACGGCAGGCTGCAGCACTAAATCCACACCGAAGCAAAGATGATATCCCTGGGGTTGGGGAGCTTGCACGGAGCCATGTTTTTAAGTTGGCAGTTTTAATTGAATTGAATTCATCTGGCAAAAGTGCCGGACAACCGTCGGGCGCATTCTAGCTCCGCTTTTCAAAGTGCAGAACGATCCACAGGGAAGCCTTCCATTTAAATAAATTAGCCCCTAATCAAGAAAGTTAATGCTTTAAATCATACAGGTTTGGATTTCTTAGGAGCGTTAATAAAACAAGCGCAGAACAAATAGAACAGAAACAAGCCAGCAGTGGAACTCGGTCTCTAAGGGCGATTCAGACTTCGGCTCCTGAAGTCCGCGGGGCTGGCGGTTTGAGGAAAGGAAAGGGAAAGGGTTTGCGGTCAGGACGTTAAAAGAGGGAAGGGAAGGGGAGGGGAGGGGAGGGGAAGGGAGGGAGGAAGGAAGGAAGGAGGGAGGGAGGGAGGGTGGGTTAAGGAGGGA